AGTAAAGCTTGAAGAAAGATATGATGAAAGTGTGTCAGGTAAGGAGAAAGCTGTTGGTTCAGGTGATTCTCAGGAAAAGAATGAGAAGAATAATTTGCAACAAATTGTAAAATCTATTTTTAGATTAAAAACCAAAAAAAAAAAAAAACAACCCACAAAATCTATTCAAGACAATCATAACAAATACTACATTTTTATCATACAGGTGATAGATTTTTCTTTTATATTCTGTATGCCTTGAAGATGTGCACAATCATGGTTCTCCACAACTTCCTATCCTTTACAGCTCTTAGTAACATTTGTCTTTTTACTATCACTCCCAATCCCTGTTCTGCCATCCATTTATACAAGCTCATTAAGTAGGTTACTTGCTATTTTCCTCTTGCTTTTAATATGTCCTATCAGTGTCAAATTCTCCAAACCTTCTTTCCTCATTATGTGTCCCTGAAATTTCAACTATGTCTTTCTGATTCTAAGTAAGTGTCTTTTTTGTCTCCATTTTCTTTAAAAAAAAAACCTTGTTGTTTACATGTTATGTCCATGATATTCTAAGCATCCTCCTGTAGAACCACATTTCTGTTGCCTCAAGTCACCTTTTACTCTGTCAGTAAATTGTCCAATATTCATTGCTATTATGGATGATTGCTATCACATAACAGTTCAGTACTCTTTTCTTTGTTTCTATTGAAATTCTCCTTTGTTTAGCCTTTGGAAGGCATCTTTTGCTAAAAATATATTGTTTGCATTGAATTTTTTTTTTTTTTTTGTAAATGTCCACTTTTGATATGAATCTGTAATGGAGTAACTTTTTGTTAGAACTGCATGTTCCGATCACAATGGAGTCATCAGTTGTAACAGCATTTGATAGAATATTTCAATATTTTCACAATATGTGAATTCAACATATATAGGGATTATACACACACACACACACACACACACACATGTATAAAGGAAAAAAAAGAAAAAAGACAATAGGAAAACTAGTTTTAGCCATTGTGTTTCATCCACTGTGGAGTTTTTCAAGGCAAAAAATGAAAAGAATTTATTGAAACAAAGTAACTATAAACAGTAAACAAAATGTTATTAGCAACCAAAAGAATTTAGAAATGCTATTGTTTATTCATATGGTCAACTGAAAATTAAATCAGTTTGTTTGAAGAGAATATTTTCACATGTAGAAATATTGTTTGTATTGTTGTATTGATGGATTTAACTGTTTTCTTTTGATTTCTTGGTATATTTGTTGTGTACATTAGCTTGGGAGAGTAGTGATTCCCTTAGGAAAGGTTATATTGGGGAAAAAATCTGGGCATAGATTATATTGTCTTTTTCTACAGGTTAATTCTGAGATATATATATATATATATATATATATATATATATTACTTCAAACATTATTTTTAGTGAACTGTATGTGAGTAGATGCTCCATTTTTTTTTTTTAAATGGAGTAGGGAAACAGGTTTTAATACTGTCAGAGGTCACATTTTCTCATGAAGTTTTCTTGAGTACACAGACCAGTAGACAAAATAAACATTGTTTGAAAAAATGGAGTGTCTACCAAAATATGGGTATCTACTAAAAATAATGTTTGAAATAGTAAAAATATATCAGATTAAAAAATAAAATCCATTATTTTTTAGAAATATATTTATACAATTAATAATAAATATACATTTTTCCTCACTGTTTGATACAACTCTGAGTTTCATGCACACAGCAATCTTCAGATACAGATTGAAAACTGTTTGCAATTAGGACCTGAAGATTGCTGCATTAATTGTATAAATTTGAGTTCTGTTATTTTACATTGATCACTTTTACTACCACCAACATTCATGGTGCAATATTTTATACTTATTTAGGAGTAGATGGGTTCTCCTATAATCTAATTTACATTCCTCCCCTGGTCTTTTGAACAGGAGTAGAAGTTTGTCCTTTGTTCACTGTTTAGGATTGAGCTTCCAGTTCCTTCTAAAGTCCTTTTCTTCCTTCTCTTTCTCTTCCAGTAGCCGCATGTATGGGTGAATAATATTATATATATATATATATATATATATATATATATATATATATATATATATATATATATATATATTATATATATATTTTCACACAATGGTGCCTTGTCTTGAAGAAAGAAGTAAGCTTTCCATCTCATTCTTCTGATAAGGTTTTCCGTTTGCTGAGTTAAATGGACGAAATAATCCCTTTTGTTCGTAGTGGGAATGTTCTTTAGTGAAACTCCGAAATTGATTCTATCCATAGTCTAAGAATAGAATAGACAGGGCTCGACAGTAATAGGAGCTAATATCCAAGTATATAATTGGTGTATACGGAATGAATTTCAATAACCAACAATTACTATTCTTAAAAGAGTGCTCAATACAAAGTTTCTGCTCTACTTTGTATTGAGCACTCTTTTAAGAATAGTAATTGTTGGTTATTGGAATTCATTCCATACACCAATTATATGCTTGTGTGTATATATATATATATATATATATATATATATATATATATATTTATTGTATTGGGCAGCAATCCTCTTTTTATACAAGTTTCATTAAAGATGACTGACAAGATACTGTGATTAAGCTTTTTATTTAATTTTTCTTGTGTTTTTACATGTGTTTTCTTTTCTGGACACAAAGTATGTAAAAACTGTCCAAAAGTTCTGCATATCTGAGCACTTTTGCCTATTCATTTATTCATTATCAAGGGCAATTTTTATTTTTAACTGAATATGTGGATTTTTTTATGTATGTATCTGAAATTATAGGAATGTTTTATTTTCCAAACATGGTCAGTTCATAGTTAATGTTATTGAGTGTTGGCTTTTCCTTTTTATTATATATATATATATATATATATATAATATGATTATTTATAGTGATGTTACTATTGTATGCAATGTACTGCATGGTTCAGTCTGGAGGGGAAAAAAATCAGTTTGCCTTAAGACTACAAACCCTTCCTTAAGGGGAAATGAGACATGTTACTGTGGCAACTTGTGGTTGTAGAGTAAGAGAAGAAAAATAAAATGTGTTTGTGTCCTTTCCTTTTTAAACTGCTTCGTGAAACACCACCTAGCACATGTTAGAAGTCACCTGGCAAACAAGGTGGGTAATACCACAAGTTTAAAAAATGTTTTTTTTTTCTTTTTAATGACTTACATCAGGAGTAGGCAAACTTTTTTTTCAGAGTGCCACATGTGTTGTTTGGTGGATTTAACAGCAAGCCACAGACACAAAAAAATACTTGAATGATGAACATACAAGAAACACTCTTTTTAGCACTGACAATTAATAGTGACTGATTTGTTGGATGTGTCATACAGTAAAAATTCTTGAATTAGGAACCTACAAGAAACACTTTTTTAGCATTGACAATTATTAGTAACCAAAATTTCAATTTCTGTTCATGAGTATTTCCACATGATTAGAAAAAAATTTCATACTTATTGCAAGATAAAACAACATGGTCACACTTTATTATTGCCTGTCAGGCTCTGCAATATAGAATTTTTCAATAGTACTTGTGGAACTGTAATGAATTGTTTACTAGTATAGCTTGTAACCTAATTGTCTCTACACATTTGATAATTTTTCATGAACATTCAAAAAAATGAATAAATTGTTATAGATTTGTCATTTATTTCCATTGGATATTAATTAAAATTGAAAAAAAAGAAAACTGATTCTGTAAAAATTAAATAATGCACAGAAAAAATTTTCTTTGAAATACTTTTGCAGGCTGCACCTAAACCATTCACTGACTGCAGTTTGCCAACCATTGACTTACATGATCAAATTCTGGAAAGAAAATTGATTTTTTTAAAACAATGAAACCAATGTCTAAAAGTCTACTTCTTTTATGTATTGTGTCCAATTAAGGTTGTTGGCAATCATGGTTCTCCACAATTTTTGTCCTTTTAGTAAATTTTGTCTTTTTGCTATCTCTCCTAAACTCTATTCTGCCATCCATTTACACAAACTCATTGTTTTCCTCTGTCCTTCTTGCCTTCTGTTTATCCTGTGAGTGTCAAATTTTCCAAGCTCTCTTATTTGCCCTAGAAATTTCAACCAACTCTTTCTCATGTTAAGTTTAACTGTCAGTTTTGTTTCCATTTTCTCTAAAGCCTTGTTGTTACTCACATGTTCAGTTCATGGTATTCTCAGCATCCTTCTGTAGAACCACATTGCTGTTGCTTCAAGTCTCTCCTTCATCTGTGAGAACATTGTTCAGCATTTGCTGCCATATAAGAGGACTGATATTACATAATAGTTCAGTAATCTATTCTTTGTTCCTATCAAAATTTTTCCAGTTTCTTAATACTTTGCCTAGCTTCTGGAAGGCATCTTCCACTATTCCAATGTGCTTATGGATTTCAATGTTGTACTTTCTATCGTCTGTTAAAACAGTGCCCAGATATTTAAATTGTACTTGTTTGGTTTGCATTTTGGGCTCATCCTCTTGCTGACAACCATATATTCTGTCTTCTTGCACTTGATGTTTAGTCCTTTCTTCATGCTTTCCTTTCTTTGTTCTTTTCCTCTTGCTGACAACCATACATTCTGTCTTTTTGCAATTGATGTTTAGTCCTTTCTTCATGCTTTCCTTTACTTGTCCTTTTCCTCTTGCTGACAACCATATATTCTGTATTCTTGCAATTGATGTTTAGTCCTTTCTTCATGCTTTCCTTTACTACCATCTGTAAGAGATTTAGTAGTTACCTTTCTGTGTCTGCTATCAAGACTGTCATCTGCATTTTACCAAAATCTTGTTTTTTATTTCTTTTACTAACCAAAAACTGTAATATGGCTTTTATATTTTTATTAATTATTATTATTTTGCTTTTTTGTTTTTTTAGATCTCCCTGCAGCTGAAATTGCAGGAATTGTCTGCAGTGCTATCATCTTGCTCATTGTCATCATTGTTGTGTTATCACAGTGGATCTGTCCAAACAGTTTCCGGCGGAAAAAGCTTGAAGACCTCATGTTCACTATCAACGAGGAAAAAGATAAAGCCCAACAGTCTGACCGTGATCGGGGCAATCTGTCAATAAGCCAGAGTAGTCCAAATTTAGCCAATGAACCTGTGGCCAAAGAAGGAATAAGCCTTATGATGAAGCGGAGTCTTTTAGCTCTGCGTCAGTCCACTCTGCCGACTGTTTCAGAAAGGCACATCTCATTCCAGCGGAGTTTATCCCACAAGCTGGACTTGTCAAATGTGGAGTTTTCTGTTCACAGCCTGCCTCACAAAGAGCAGCCTTCACTTGGAAGAATCAAGCCCGAGCTATACAAACAAGCATCAATTGATGAAATGGACTCAATCTGTGAAACATGTGGGAAGTTGCATTTTAGTCTGCAGTACAATGCAGAAAATGAAACTTTGTATGTCAATATCATTCGGGCTGAGAACTTACCTGCCAAAGATTTCTCTGGCACAAGTGATCCCTACGTGAAGGTCTATCTGCTGCCAGATCGCAAAACCAAATTCCAGACTAAAGTTCATCGCAAGACACTGAATCCCGACTTCAATGAATCTTTTACGTTCAATGTTTCTTACCAAGAGCTGGAGAACCGGAGTCTGCAGTTTAGCCTCTATGACTTTGACCGATTCTCTCGTCATGACCTGATTGGTGATGTTATTGTCAAGGAAAGTCTCCAAGACATCACTCTGTCTAAAGAAAAACGTTTTACCTATGATGTACTCACATCACACCAAGTGAGTAACAATTTATTTCTAAATTAGAATCAGTGGGATTTTGATGTTGAGCATGTTTGTAAAATCTGAATTCATCCCTCTATTTAGTTTGCAGGGTTTTGAGGAATGGAGAGAAATACTGAAATATAATATACCTTGAGTGGATGAATGATCCACTACTGTTAGGTTTTACCCTCAGACAATGTGGTGAATTTGTTAGCCTTCATCTGTGCTGCATAAGTTCAAGACTTGATATTTGATTCATATTTTTCTTTAATCACTTCACCCCAAGTAAGGCAATAATGCCACTAAGAGGTTACTGGGAGTGGAAGAGAATGAGAAAATTTTAGTGAGGAGAAAGGAGAATAAAAGAAGAGGATTCAGGAAAACAGAAGATGGCGACTAACATTGCTTTTAAATTTTTGAGGATTGTAGGTGTCAGGGAAGCAAGAAACTAGAAGAAAGTTCCAAAGGTGAGAACTGCAAAAAAAAAAAAAGAAAGAAATTATTAGAATACAACTAACAGTTACATGTAGCTATTTCAACGGTAAAATGATGAGACATAATGGCCAATCTAGTAGTGTGCTTAAATTCACATGGTCAAGGTATCAAGGAGGAGAGCTCATTAGAACAACTGCCATGAAAGTATTTATAGAAAAGACAGAGGGAAGCCATGTCATAATGGTGGGGAAAATATAAAATTATATTAAACTGAAATAATTTGAAAATATTTTTTTAATTTTTGACCATTACAAAGGACTTAATTAACTGTAAAACATCTGAGACAGAAATGGATTCTCATTTTTTATTTCAATTATAATGCGCTAGATGTACCAAATATATGGAGGCAAATCTGGTAGCATATGACTTTAGGACAGATATTTGCCCAGACATTTAAAATATAAATAAAGCTGATGTAGGAGAAGTCAAGAGAATGTAAGTGATGTTTTTATTTAGTGTATAAAAATGTTACATGCCTTCTCTCCCACCCTGAAAAAGAAAGCTAGACATCTTCTTTTCATGGGGTCTACCCTAAAACTGTCCTCTGTATAGATTGGGCATCACTGTCTGGCTGTCAAGTGTCATTTGACTGACCAAGCACAGACATACTAATTGGGGAAGAGGGAAGAAAGTTAAATCAACAGGGACATCTTCAAGAATAACATTTGTTTTTTTTTTCTTCTTTTTTCTGCATTCTTTTGAATATAGCAAATTTTAAAGGTACTCTCAGATAATGACAGAACTTTATTGATATAACCACCCAGGCAGATTTCAGTTATCAACATATTAATCTTTTCTAAATAAAATGTTTTTGAGTTAAGTGCTTTTAGGAAATTTCTAAACCTGACAACAGACTCTATTTTTTATATTAACAGAAATGAGCAATTTACAGCTTTTTAGTAAATATAGAATTTTAAGCAGAATGGGATCAAAACAGAGAGAAGTTTATGAAGGGTCCAATTAGTGATCATTATCTTGGTAGGGATTTTTGTTAGTCTAGGCATTTTCCCTATACATTTGAGTTGTAGCAACTAGAATTGTCAAAATTTATGCAAAAAAAAAAAAAATGAATCCAAGAAATTGGAAGATGGGTTATTTATATGTGACAAAAAAATAAGACTTTTTTTTTAATTTGAATTTATGATTACTTGTAAAAATTTGGATTTTATTTATAAAATCTCTTTATCGAGATACTTTGAAAATTTTTAAAAGTTGTGCTTTGATAGAACAGTGGTAGTCTGGATTCCTTTGACACCACTCCTTAGCTATGTTAAAAGAGACTGATTTTAAATTTGTATAAAATAAAATTCTTTGATAACAATGCTAGAGATTAACACTTAAATTGTCCAAATCCAGATCATTTCCTTTGGACTTGACCCAATTAGTTATTACAGATAAGAATTGGCTAACATAGGAGGGCATACAGCTAAGAATTGGCTAACCTAGGTGGGCATACAGATAAGAGTTGGCTAACATAGGAGGGCATACAGCTAAGAATTGGCTAACCTAGGTGGGCATACAGATAAGAGTTGGCTAACATAGGAGGGCATACAGCTAAGAATTGGCTAACCTAGGTGGGCAGATAAGAGTTGGCTAACATAGAGGGCAACAGAGTTGGGCATAACATAGGAGGGGGCCCTACAGCATAGAATTGGCCCGGCTAACATAGGTGGGCATACAAATAAGAATTGGCTAAACAAGAGGGCATACAGATAAGAATTGGCTAACATGGGAGGCATACAGATAAGAATTGGCTAACATAGGAGGGCATACAGATAAGAATTGGCTAACATAGGAGGGCATACAGATAAGAAAGAGGCTAACACAGGAGGGCATACAGAAGAATTGGCTACAGGGAGGGCATACAGATAAGAATTGGCTAACATAGGAGGGCATACAGATAAGAATTACTAACATAGGAGGGCATACAGATAAGAATTGGCAACATAGGAGGGCATACAGATAAGAATTGGCTAACATAGGTGGGCAGATAACACAGATAAGAGATGAATTACAACATGGAGGGCATACAGATAAGAATTGGCAACATAGGAGGGCATACAGATAAGAATTGGCTAACAAGGAGGCATACAGATAAGAATTGGCTAACATAGGGGCATACAGATAAGAATTGGCTAACATGGAGGGCATACAGATAAGAATTGGCTAACATAGGAGGGCATACAGATAAGAATTGGCAAATATAGGAGGGCATACAGATAAGAATTGGCTAACATAGGAGGGCATACAGATAAGAATTGGCTAAGAAATTGGCTAAGGGGCATACAGATAAGAATTGCAACACAGGAGGGCATACAGATAAGAATTGGCTAACATAGGAGGGCATACACAGATAAGAATTGGCAACACAGGGCATACAGATAAGAATTGGCTAACATAGGAGGGCAGAGATAAGAATTGGCCAACATAGGAGGGCAAGATAAGAATTGGCTAACATAGGAGGGCATACAGATAAGAATTGGCTAACATGGGAGGCAGATAAGAATTGGCAGATAAGAGGGCATACAGAGATAAGAATGGCTAACATGGAGGGCATACAGATAAGAATTGGCTAACATAGGGAGGGCATGCATACAGATAAGAATTGGCTAACATAGGAGGGCATACAGATAAGAATTGGCTAACATAGGAGGGCATACAGATAAGAATTGGCTAACACAGGAGGGCATACAGATAAGAATTGGCTAACATAGGAGGGCATACAGATAAGAATTGGCTAACACAGGAGGGCATACAGATAAGAATTGGCTAACATAGAGGGCATACAGATAAGAATTGGCTAACATAGGAGGGCATACAGATAAGAATTGGCTAACACAGGAGGGCATACAGATAAGAATTGGCTAACATAGGAGGGCATACAGATAAGAATTGGCTAACATAGGAGGGCATACAGATAAGAATTGGCTAACATAGGAGGGCATACAGATAAGAATTGGCTAACATAGGAGGGCATACAGATAAGAATTGGCAACATAGGAGGGCATACAGATAAGAATTGGCTAACACAGGAGGGCATACAGATAAGAATTGGCTAACATAGGAGGGCATACAGATAAGAATTGGCTAACATAGGAGGGCATACAGATAAGAATTGGCTAACATAGGAGGGCATACAGATAAGAATTGGCAACACAGGAGGGCATACAGATAAGAACAGATAAGAATTGGCTAACACAGGAGGGCATAATAAGAATTGGCTAACCTAGGTGGGCATACAGATAAGAATTGGCTAACATAGGAGGGCATACAGATAAGAATTGGCTAACATAGGAGGGCATACAGATAAGAATTGGCTAACATAGGAGGGCATACAGATAAGAATTGGCTAACACAAGAGGGCATACAAATAAGAATTGGCTAACACAGGAGGGCATACAGATAAGAGTTGGCTAACATAGGAGGGCATACAGATAAGAATTGGCTAACACAGGAGGGCATACAGATAAGAATTGGCTAACACAAGAGGGCATACAGATAAGAATTGGCTAACACAAGAGGGCATACAGATAAGAATTGGCTAACACAAGAGGGCAGACAAGAATTGGCTAACACAAGAGGGCATACAGATAAGAATTGGCTAACATAGAGGGCATACAGATAAGAATTGGCTAACATAGGAGGGCATACAGATAAGAATTGGCTAACATAGAGGGCATACAAATAAGAATTGGCTAACACAGGAGGGCATACAGATAAGAGTTGGCTAACATACAGGGCATAGAAAGAATTGGCTAACATAGGAGGGCATACAGATAAGAATTGGCTAACACAGGAGGGCATACAGATAAGAATTGGCTAACACAGGAGGGCATACAGATAAGAATTGGCTAACATAGGAGGGCATACAGATAAGAATTGGCTAACATAGGAGGGCATACAGATAAGAATTGGCTAACACAGGAGGGCATACAGATAAGAATTGCTAACACAAGAGGGCATACAATAAGAATTGGCTAACACAAGAGGGCATACAATAAGAATTGGCTAACACAGGAGGGCATACAGATAAGAATTACAAACATAGGAGGGCATACAGATAAGAATTGGCTAACAAGGAGGGCATACAGATAAGAATTGGCTAACATAGGAGGGCATACAGATAAGAATTGGCTAACACAAGAGGGCATACAGATAAGAATTGGCTAACACAAGAGGGCATAAGATAAGAATTGGCTAACACAGGAGGGAATTGGCATATAAGAGGGCAGATAAGAATTACTAACACAGGAGGGCATACAGATAAGAATTGGCTAACACAGGAGGGCATACAGATAAGAATTGGCTAACATAGGAGGGCATACAGATAAGAATTGGCTAACACAAGAGGGCATACAAATAAGAATTGGCTAACACAAGAGGGCATACAGATAAGAATTGGCTAACACAAGAGGGCATACAGATAAGAATTGGCTAACACAACATACAGATAAGAATTGGCTAACAAGAGGGCATACAGATAAGAATTGGCTAACACAAGAGGGCATACAGATAAGAAT